CCCTTATTCGTTGCTTCAGGGTCTCTCAGTCAAACCCAGAGTGTGTTGATGATTAGTCTAGGTAGCCATCTTGCAGTGGTCATCCTCTGTTCTCTGCCTCCCGAGTCTGGAATTACAGACAGGCCACCCAGCATTTACATGAGATTCTGGGATCTGAACTCTGATCCTCATGTTTGCATGGCAAGCAATTCAACTGCTGAGTTATCTCCTCAGCCCCCACCCCCTTTTTGAGACAATTTCATGTAGCCCAAGCTGGCCTTGAACTTGTTCTGTAGTCAAAGATGATCCTGAGTTCCTGACCCTCGTACCTTAGTGTACTGGGATCACACATAACTCAGGTGCTCCTGGGGCCTGGGCTCCGGGCCTGTGTGTGTGTGTGTGTGTGTGTGTGTGTGTGTGTGTGTGTGTGTGTGTGCTAGACAAGCTCCGGGCCTGTGTGTGTGTGTGTGTGTGCTAGACAAGCTCCGGGCCTGTGTGTGTGTGTGTGTGTGTGTGTGCTAGACAAGCTCCGGGCCTGTGTGTGTGTGTGTGTGTGTGTGTGTGTGTGTGTGTGTGTGTGTGCTAGACAAGCTCCGGGCCTCTGTGTGTGTGTGTGTACTAGACAAGCACCATGCCAGCCAGCTACCTTCTAGCTCCATCTCAGCTTTCCCAACACGCTGCAAAGATCTCTTTCAGTGAACTGGTGTGAGAGGTGAGAGGGCCTAGTTTTTCAAAGGGGAGGGTGAGGTTGAAATGAAGTTCTTAAATGCTTGTCACTTAAAATCCCTTCGATTTTGAAAAACGGATTTAGAGTCTAAATAGCTTCTGTGCTCAAGCCTGGGGGCTAGGAGTCTGGACTGACCCTGTGCTGTGTGATCCCAGCTAAATCACTAGCACAGGCTGGACTTTAGTCTCTTCGTCTGTGTCAGTACTAAACCAGAGCATGTTATCGCGGTAGCTTGGGCCATGCTCATGCTTAGCAATATAGGATGGATCTTATTCATTTACTTTAGATACGGCCCCACTGTGAAACTCAGGCTGGCTTTGAACCCAGGATCCTCCTGCCTCAGCCTCCTGGGTGCTGGTATCACAGTTGTTCCATGTGCCTTAGGCAAATGGGAAGCATCTGAATGTTTTAAAGTTGAAGCTGCTAGTTCATCATTATGAAGACAGCCATGAGACTGATGATATGTGACATTTATTGGGCATTTGATATGGATCGGCCACATCTAAATAATTTATTAATTCGGCCCTAATAACAACAATTCCATGTGGTAGGAATGATTCTTGCTTCCATGTTTTCAGATGAGGAACCGAGGTAAGGAATTTCCTCCAGGTCATGGAGATGGCAAAATGAAGGTTGGATTTGAACTCTAGTGCTTTGGTTCTGGGGTCTGTATACTTACTCCCTGGGCCTCAGTGGTCTGTTATGACCTTTTATAATGCTTTGCCAGTGATTTATAGGTATTTGAAATGTGAAAAATGTATGTTTTTTCGTCTCTAGGCAAATTTAATGAAAAGTCAGGATTTTATGTTGGACTTCAGTAGGAAATAGGACATATATCTAGCACATCTGAATACTCACTTATCCGCTACATCTTTGTAGACACACACACACAAATTAGATCAAGGCTGGCAAGATGGCTCAGCGGGAAAGTTACTTGTCACCAGAGTCTGACAGCCTGAGTTTGATTCCTTTAATCCACATGGTGGAAGAAGAAATCTCCTGCAAGTTGTTCTCTGGCGTGTGAGAACACACACACACACACACACACACACACACACACACACACACACACACACAAAGTGACCTTAAAAATATTTTAAAAAAACCCAAACAACTACAATGTGTAGCAACATAATTCAAGAGGTCAAGAAAAGAACCCCACTCCCAGGTTTTTAATATAGTCTGAGTTTGCTTAGCGGAAACAGCTACTTTAAATATTGTGACAAACACATAGATGTATGGTTATGTTGACTGTTTTTGAGGTTCAGAACAAGGCAGAAGACTTCTCTCAGGTGGCCAGAATGCCAGTGTTCTGTGGTTAGGCTTGCAGCATCGGACGAACAAGTCTATTCCAAGATGTCAGCGGTGTCAAGTGCCGACATGTAACAATGTCAAGTGCCCTGGGTGCCTAGCACCAAGCTGTAAGACCAGGCAAGGCAGAGCTGACTGCCCACAGACGTTAACAGAGGGTACCTGCCGCTTCTGGCCCTCCCATGCGGAAGCTGGAAACCGGTGCAGTTTGGACATGAATATATAGATACAGGGATTTGGCATGTGATGAGTCCCTGGTAGGATGCCTCGAGAAAAGTGCAGGGTATGAAACTGTGTGCACAGCTTGATCTTGGTTTGATGGTGGGAAATGGTGTTTTGGAAACAGCAGTAGGAATGTGGGCATAATGATGTATACAAGGTGAGTGATCCCCCCCCCGCTGTTTTTTGAGATAAGGGGTCTCAATATATGGTTCAGGCTGGCCCAAACTTTCAGTCTTGTGTCCCAGCCTCCCAAGTGCTGGGATTATGCAGCGCCATGCCTGATAGACACCTTTACACTCCCCGTGTCATCCACACAGTCTACAGCCAAGCTGTGGAGACGGAGCACCAGGCACAGGGCTTGTGGCCCTGTGAAAGTGGGGGCCTGAGTCTGATTCCTCGGAATCCACATTTACAAAAGCTGGGCAGTGCTCTGTGAAATGGCTCAGCCAGCAACGGTGCTGACTGCCAACCTGAGGATTTGTTTGACCTTTGGAGCCCATTTGGTGAAGGAGAGAACAGACTCCAGAAAATTGCCGCCCCCCCCCAGCTTGGTGGCACACACCGATAGCTCCAGTTCTGTTGTAACAGACACAGGCAGATCTCTGAGGCCTCCAGCCTAGCCGTAGAAACAACATCTGAGGTTGCCTTTTGGTCTCTACACAGACTCACACACTGCATGGGCACACACAGGAGCATGCAGACATGCACACACACACAGAACTGTAAACAGTAGTCTATAATGAATATACAGAATTTTAATAACGAAGTAGAATTCTACCAAGTATCTGTTAAAAAGTTTGGAACAGTGTTTTTCTTGAGAAGTCGCCATTTTATTAAATTATGACCTACCCATCTCCAAAATGCCAGGGAAGAAGCTCTCCTGCAGATCCCACAGGGACTTTTGGTTGTCTCTGTTCTGTGTTCAAAGACATGCTGCCCCTGTGGTCTCCTGGAGGTCCTGTGTGTGGGTCCTGCTGGAAGTCTGCCACCAAGGCTCCCCAAGCTCCTGCAGAGTGTCAGCATTGCCAGGCTTTGGATACAGGGAGTCACTGCTGCCTTTATCATTTAAATACAGTGAGCCTTCCTGCAAGGTTTCTAGTTTTTATGAAAAGTATTTAATGATTACTTAAAACAAGCAGAGAAAGATCTATGGGAACGCCCCGAGTGTGCTGAGGCCCACATGGGAATGGACTCACTCAAGGTTATCATCAGGTTCATGGCAGAACTCCAACAAGGGTTTTGGGAAGGGGCACTCCTGGCTCCCCGCTGCATGGGTCCTTCCTATAAAGTTCGTTTGCTTTAATTTAATGAAGTTTCCTTTGGCAAATGTGCAGTCTGTTGACCGTGCTCCTGCATCTTTGGCAGTACCAAGCGTCTCCATCCTCTATGCTTCTGGTGTGTGTTGTGTGAGCTCTGTGCTTTGGAGTCACTTTGATGCAACCTTTGCTAAGGCGGTCTTGAAGGCTGCTCTGGCCAGGGAACCGGAATCTTCAGTCTGTTAGAGACCACAGCTGGAGTGATATCCTTATGGTTGGAAACTTTCTGCAGAGTTTGTCAAACAGGACCAGGCAGTTCAGTTTACCCTGAACTTTGCTCTTGGATCCCCCGTTTGGCCTCATCTCACAGTTGTTCACTCGGTCTTTATCTTTTTTTTGTCTAGCGTTCTGGCACTTTTTCTTTTTGTTGTCATCCTTGGGTGACATGGGGGAAACCCTGGGAGCCGCAGCTAGTGCTGCAAGACTCCCTGAGATCCTCCATCCCCCATGGGGTGTGCATGAACTGTCTTCTTAGGAAGCCAAGCCAAGTGCTTTCTTTGGGCAACACAGGCTCCCTTGATAGCTTCAGTGACACACATCCTCTTGCTAGCCACTTTCCCCGGCGGGTGTGTTAATCTTATTTGTGGAGTCTTTGGGACAAAGAAACCACATGCGAGCACTGCCAGAGAACAGACAAGGTGCCTGGTTCACTTCTTTAGCTCCACAGGTGGAAAGCCGAGCTCAAGCCGGGGGATGGATCTGTGAAGGAGCTGTGGGCACGCCTGAGAGTCAGCGAGGCTAACCTGGACCCATGCCACATCAGTTATTCTTCAGAAAAGGAGGCGCTCAGCCTGGGATGGTGGTGCACGCCTGTAATCTCAGCACCTGCCAGGAGAGGCAGGGAGATCAGGAGTTCAAGGGTAGCCTTGGGTAGACAGGGAGCTTGAGGCTGGTATATATTATGTGAGATTCTGCCTCAGAAAGTCTAACAAACCAAAACATAAAAGATAAAAAACTGAGCAGAGAGACACCGACACTGAGGGTCCAGGGGTGATGCCAGTCACCCAAAGACACCCAGTGGGAAAACTCTTTAGAACTCCTAATTCCTAGTCTGGGCTCATAATCTACCAGCCCAGCCCCACCCCTTTCCTGAGTCTCTGCATAACTAGCTAGGGTCTCGTTCTTCTTCCTCCTCCTCCTTTTTCCTTTTTAAATTAAATTAAATTTTTTTATTTTTTAAGATAGGGCTCACTAGGATTGGACTTGCTATGTAGCTGAGTATAGCATTGAACTTCTGATTTCTTACCTCTTCCTCCTCCCTAGTGCTGGGATGGTGGATATGTACCAACACATGCATTTCCATCCTTCCGGGGACGGGATCCGGGGTTTTGCTAATAATGCTAGGCAAGCACTCTACCAAGGGGGCAACACCCCAGCCTCAGGGTCTCTTTCCTTCTCAATGGTAAACAGTCATTTGTGTTTCTTTTTCCCCCAACTGCCTACAGGATCATCCGGACAAAAGTACAGCAGCCCCCCAACCAGCCAGTCCCAGCTTCCAGTCACAGCATAGGTAAGAACTTTTAAAAAAAATTTGAAAATCTAATGGGCTCCAAATATTCTAAAGAACTTTTAATCATTCTTATGGACAGATAATTCTGCATAAAACACTTCACACGCGTCCTAATGCTCCTTCTTTGTCATTCTCCAAGGGCTGAACCTGGCAAATGAATTTTATAAATACTGCTAAAAGGTTTTGAATTTTACTGATTATTATGATAAATAGCTTTCACCATGAGACAGAAAATTGAAATCTAAGCCAAAAAAATCCACTAATGGGGGTCTATAGAATGTCAGATAATTAAAGTAATAAATCAAGAAAGGGATACTTATTCATAACATTTTCTGCATCATTAGTCAGTAAGTAGTTTTGAATGTGTTTTTTTTCCTTCTATAACCAGCCTTCTGCAATTCTTTGTGCGCTTGCAGTCTTGAGTGAAGATGTAGCAAAACTTTCCAAACTTTTTTTCTCTCTTGCTCTCGGTTTGCTCTCTCGTACACTGCCAACTGTTGAGGGCTGCCTGCGGGGTTTCCGAGGTCCACAGGGGGATTCTAAGAGTGACCATGACTCATAAGGGTGGCGTTCTAACTTGCCACACTCAAAAGTCTGAACTTTTTTATTGCTTCATCTTCAAAGAGGAGTTGAAAATGACATAATCCAGGCATGTTCTTGGTGTCATTTCTCCATTTGGGACAGAGGGATACTTCTGGTTTGCTGGGGAAGTTACTCTGCTTTAAGGAAGCAGGTGGCTAGTTAGCAAGCCTCTGCCAGTTTGGGTGCCACAGACCCCAAGGAGTCTGCAGTGCTGCATCTCAGATTGTGCAGTATTCTAGTATATTTATCACTGCCAGTTAAATCTGTGTATGTGCAACGTGTGTGTGCTTACTTGAGGAGTCCAGAAGGGGGCGATGGATCCCTTGGAGCTAGAGTTACACACAGTCATAAGCTATTTGACATTGGTTCTGGGAACTGAACTCAGGTTCCCTGGAAGAGCAGCAAGTGCCACTGAGCTGTCTCTCCAGCCTCCCCTGCCGTTCTTTCTTAAATAACAACCTGAACTCACAGTGATGAGAAGACTAGCAGAGGCACACCAGTCTGTCATTAGCTCACCCAGTCAGCTAGATAAGTGTCTCATCTCTGAGTATCAGTTTCCCCTTGGTTGTATGGAGGAGGGACACAAGCCAGGTGTTCCTGAGGTTTCTGATCCTTTAAGGGTGGCTCTTTGAAGGAAGGTAAGAGAGAAGTCCTCCCTGCCCAAGACCATTCTTCATTCTGCATTGCTGTTGGAAAGACTTTATTATGCTCATGCTATGCGGATCCTGGGCTTGGAGAAGAATGCCAGACTAAAGTCCATGTTCTCAAGGGCTTCTGGTCCTATGAGGGAATGTGGGAAGGGAGCTTGAAAAACAAAAAAACAAACAAAAGAACCAACAAAACAAAATAAAATCCGAAGCCCAGGAAACAGCCCGCATGAGTAGCAGGAAGGGGCCGTCTCTCTGTGAGAGGAATGACAGGACTGAGGAGGGCTTCTTGGGTGGGGTGCGGGGGTGTTTGCAGCTGAGATTTCACCTGTGGCTTTAACGCTCCAGGGCATGTAGCATTAAAAACATCAAACTGTCCTTCATTAGCATTAGAGGAATAATTCTACAGTAATTCAGTGATTTGCTTTGTCCCAGAAATTTATAAAACTTTGTCTCACTTGTATATTGCCTCATATAGTCTGCAAACTTATTGGGCATTGAGGACAGTTAGAGCTCACAAGATGAGTGACGACTCTAAAGTCATATGTGTAGCCAGAACCTGAACCTGGGTCCTCTGTGCCCAGTGTGATTGCAAAATACCTAAGCAGGTGTCATTGGACTCTGCCAACGGCACAACCAAGCCTGTTTTCCATGCGGCTGTTGTTGGATGTGCCAAGTGATCTCTTTATTTCTTTGTTCTTTGCTCCTCAATACAGAGAGGTCATGGGATTTGCATAAATGTATTTTGAGGAGCTTTTTTTTCTGGTGAAGGGAAGGAGAAATTAGCAATTTCTGCATTGGTGTCTCTTAAGGGAGTTCTGAACTCAAGCTCAAACATGAGCAGAAAGGCCCTGTACCTTCTAGGTCTGTAGAGCCATGGGCTGCCTCTGCTCCAAGGAAAATGGTTTATCATTCTAGCCACACCCTGCTCTGCAAAGTAAAGACTCCATCTGCCTCCAGCTGGCTGCTCACAGAGAGGTGTGTGAGGAGAGAGGTCTAGTTACTTATGGAGAGGTGTGTGAGGAGAGTGGTCTGGCTGCTCATTGAGAGGTGTGTGAGGAGAGCGGTCTGGTTCCTCATCATGGAGAGCAGTCTGGTTGCTCATGAAGAGGTGTGTGAGGAGAGAGGTGATTGCTCTTAATGAAAGGAGGAAGAACCCCCACATCTCTCACAAGTGAAACTCAGATGCATAGCTAGAGAGGACCTTCAAAGGTCTGCTGGACTCTAGACTGGAGTCACTGTGAAACTTGCTGAAGTCCCCCTCCTTGCCCTTGGAGACTTAGAGACCTGTGCCTGGCCACAATAAGTCACCACCTCTGTTTCCACTTCTAAGAAGGGAAATTTTAGATCTGAGGCTAACTGTGAGTGCTGCTTAGTTACTTCACTTCAGCTCTCTTCACCTCATGAAACTAACTTTCCTCATTTGGCAAATAGAAAAATAATCAGTAGCACAGCTAAGTGAAAAGCAGGATATCTGTGGGAGACACGTTGTCTTTCTTCACTATCCATCAGCGAAGAGCACACTTTTTTTTCGAGACAGGGTTTCTCTGTATTGTTTTGGAGGCTATCGGTCCAGCCCGGCCTCGAACTCACAGAGATCCGCCTGCCTCTGCCTCCCGAGTGCTGGGATTAAAGGCGTGCGCCGCCAACGCCCGGCTGAAGAGCACACTTTTTATTATTATACTTTATTCTCTCTGTGTGTGTGTGTGTGTGTGTGAATCTGTACACATGCACGGCTGGAATGGGAACAGAGATGAATGTGACTCAAGCGTGCATCTAGTTCTTTTCCTGGCATTGGAGGTGGCATCAGCTGCCCTCCTCCCTGCATCCTACGGGCTGAGATCTTAGTAATCCCCTTTTTTAGTCTGTGCTTGCATTCCTTTCTGCTCGGTCTGTGGCAGTTGTACCCAGCCCAGTGTTTCCAGTGAGCACCTTGTGACAGTCCCACACCCCTCTCCTTCTACAGTGTCCACGGGCTCCGTGACGCAGGTGTCGTCAGTGAGCACCGACTCTGCAGGCTCCTCGTACTCCATCAGTGGCATCCTGGGCATCACGTCCCCCAGTGCCGACACCAACAAGCGCAAGAGGGATGAAGGTAAGAGGCAGCTGGGCATCCCTGTCAGGGATGGACCCATGAGCTCTGTGAGGGGCTCTCGGAGCATGAGCAGAAGGGCCAACTCAGCAGCCTTACCTGCAGGGGACCCGAGCTCCCAGGGCCCTGTCCTTTCCTCTGAGACAAGGAAGACAGACGGGCGCCTGTCTGGGACCCTTTGCTACCCGTTTTCACTGCTTGGGTGAGAAACGCCACCGTGGGCTGTGCTTTGCTGCTTTTAAGAGAGTCCTGAGGACGGAGATGGTACCTCAGGGCTGCTGTGTGGATGGTCTTAGCTTAGTGACACTGTCTCCTCTGTGGGTTCTGGAGGCAAGAGATGGGCTGGGCAGGGTAGCCACTGCTTTGCTCTGTGGTGAGGGGCATGAGGAGAAAGAGCAGGGACTGGAAGCACTCCTCTGTGAAGGAGATGGTGGTGAAAGGTGGAGGGGAATAAATCTCAGTTTTGCCCTTGGACCTGAGAGGAAGGCCTGGGGATTACAAAGATGACAGCCTCTTCCTGTGCTACCTGGGTTATTGGAGCTGGCCACTCCCTCTGGGAGTCTGTAAAACCTTACTCAGAAAGTGTGTGTGTGTGTGTGTGTGTGTGTGTGTGTGTGTGTGTGTGTGTGTGTAAGCTGTGGTCTGGGGGCCGGAGAGCAGACTGACAGAAACGTTGACTCAATTATCTGTCTGCTGGCGTGATTCTCCCTCAGCATCATGTAAGGGGTGTATGATGTTGCAAATACATGCCTAACTACTTAAGATCTGAAACTAGACATCTAGTCAGCCCTGTGGTGGATTGGCCTGGGGTCTTCGTGCCGCAGGCATTGGGGCTGGCCTCAGTGTGCAGTGGTAGTCCAAGCCCGAATGATTCATGGTTCTCAGAGTCTGCTTCACCTCCTTCCCCTGCTCCCATACTCCAGAACAGATGTCTGGAGTACTTAACGCAGCGGGTTGCTGTGCCAGCTTGCTGCGGGAGGCAGTGGGCCTGCCATCTCTGTTGGTTTATGGAGTTGATGGTGCCATCTTTTTTCTCTGTGTCACCTGAACTCTAGGCAGATGAACCAAGGTGGTGCCTGACTATGTTTGATCCCAGTGAAGGAACGGGTGCTAGGATGTGCCTTTGCAGCTGAAAAACTCAAGCAGAGATTTTTTTAGGAGAAAGCAAGAAAAAAATCTAGCTTAACGTTTATTAACGGACAGATTCTGATGCGGAGAGGCTATGGTGCTAGAGAGTTATATGGTTAGCTGTCTTTGATCAGGAGCGTTGTGGTCTCTCAGCCAGGCACATAGCAGCTCAGAAGGTGGTCGGTGTCCTTGAAGGTTCTGCTGGTCAGCTTGTTACCTGAGGATGATGGCTGCTCTGGAGATACTAATTTAAAGGCATTTATTTGTGTGTTTATTTACTGGTGGGGGTGCACAAGGGCCATGTGTGCACTCGGGGAGCAGAGAGCAGCTCGCAGGAGTCGGGATGTAGTGGGGGACGCCTGCAACCCTAGCACTTGGCAGGCGGAGCCAGGAATATGAGCTGAGAGCCAGGGTGGGCTACAGGGTGGGGGCCGTCTCAAAGACGACACAAAAACGTTCAGAATGAGACGTAAGACTGGATGGTCTGCGGTCCCCCCAGTCCTGAAGCCCCAGTTTCAGAAACCCGAGAAGACTTCTGGTGAAATTTCAGTGTATGCTACGGAGGCTGAGATAGAAAGACTTGGACGTCTTGGAAAATTCACAGAGTTGAGAAAAACAGGGAATTGAGTGAGGCCCCGCCCGGCTGCCCTGCTTCAGCAAGAACAGAGCAGGGCAAGCTGAGAAGCGGCTCCTACTGGGGAGACGTCTTGGGGCTGGGGGGGTACTGCCCAGGGCTCCACATCCTTTCTTACCCTCCCTCTGTATCCCCATGGATCCCTGCTCCAAAGAGAGGTGAAGGGGCAGAGCCAGCACCCTCATTTATCAGGGAAGGTCACCAAGGATCCAGGGTGCTCTGTGCCATGGGCAGTCACATGGCTTGTGTAGACTAGGAAGCAAAGGAACTGAAGAACCTGGGGCTTCGCCCTCTGGTGTTATCTGTCACTGCTGGTTCCTCCAGGCTGGAGCTGTGGAGGTGAAGCAGCCTGTGCCTGGGCAGGACCTTTGGCAGCAGTGAAAGAGTGGCGGGCAGTGAGCATGAGTAGTGGGTTGGATGATGCTGAGGGTGTGGTGAAGTCAGACCTTGAGGTTTGGGAGCAGAGGGTAGGACCCAGCAACCAGGTAACACACAGAAAGGCTGGGCTTGGCAGGAGCCAGCTGGGACAAGGCTACTCACCATGGATATGGAAGGGTGCTGGCCTTATGGTGAGCAGTCCCTGCAGGGAAGGGGCATCCAAGGGTCAGGAGGAAGACAGCCGAGCATGTCGCCCCACATCTTCAAGGTTAACAGAGACATCCCAGTGGGGCCCCTCACTCGGGGGGCTGTGCACTATCATCTCCAGCTGGGACTTGGATTTTGCCCTGTGGGCATTTCCTGCTCAGACCTCAGATTTGGGGAGACCAGAGATGGGGTACAACTTCATGCAGAGGGCAGGCGAGGGTCATCGAGAATGAAGGCTCCTAGCTCTCCAAAGGGCAGAGTATGAGGTGACCTCTCCCTGGGGGTTTGTTTTGACCTAAAGGTCTCAGAAGGCTCTTAGGAGATGTGTCAGAGGACTAAGGAGAGACATGCCAGTTACCAGAGGAGAGAGAGCATGCCGGTCAAAGGTAACAGAGAGTGTGTCCAGTCTGGGACTGCAGTGAGCCCCAGGACCCGAACCCGGAGAGGGGTGGCAAACATGTCAGGTGGCTCAGTACTGACTGCTGCCCCTGAAATCTTAGTTTGAAAATGGGATGGCTTTAGAGAAAGACTTTGCTGAATGTTTGGGTGTGTTCATGCAGTTTTGGAAATGATTGGCCCAGCAGCCTCGTTCAGCGGAAACAGAACAAAAGCCACAGGCGTAATGAACCACTTTCCGGACACCAAACAGTAACAAGACTGACTGTGTCCTCCTCTGCTTCTAGTACTCAGAGGTGGGGTTGAGTTCAAGACCAGCCTGGCTACACAGCAAGACTGTCGAAAAAACTAAAATCGAAGCTGGGTGTGGTAACACACACCTGGATCAGGAGTTTAAGTTTGAGCCTCAAAAGATAAACAAACAAAAATTCAATCAACCAACCAGTCTCCTACCCCACCCCAATAATGAGTACAAAGACAAAGAAAGAAGTGGAATTAGAGGTTGAGAAGATGGCTTGGTTGGTACTTGCTGCACAGGTGTGAGAGTCTGATTTGGCACCCCCTGCCCTAAAAGGGTTCACACATTGTGTGAGCCTGTATTCCTGCTCTGGGGAGACAGCCAGAGCATCTATGCTCACTGGCTAACTGGCCTAGCTGAAATGCTAAGCTCCAGGTTGATTGAGAGCCCTGTCTAAAAACAATAGTAACAATCTGGGGGACAATGGAGGAAGATATTTGACGCAAATCTCTGGCCTCAATATGTTTGTGCACCCACACACACAGAAACAAGTGGGATTAATAACATAGTTTCCTAGTGTAAAACGTTATCACTTCAACATGCAGTCAAGTCTTAGGATATGCCATGTTGCCTCTTTTTTTTTTTAAACTAAGTTGTTGAACTATGGTGTGCATTTTACAAGCATAACACATCTCTGGATGCCAAGCATCAGAAATCTCAAATCAGATGTTGTCAATCCTGTCAAAACAACGAAGTTTTATATTTTATGTGGCTCTTGCTTTTTTTTTACAATTGCTACTTGTTTTAAATGGATTGGTTAGTATTACTGCTGTATATGTGTGACGTTTGTGGGCTAGGGCACTCGCGTGTCACAGAGTGCACGTGGAGTTGAAGGCTCACTTTGTGGACGTGGGTCTCTCCTTTACCTTTATATGGGTTCTTGGCTGAACTCAAGCTTGTACCACAAGAACTTTCACCCTCTGAGTTGCCTCACCAGTGTGTTTTCTATTTTTAAAATTTAAGTATATTAAAGGAAATGAAGACAATTAGGTATGTGGTTGGTAGAACATGGCTCTAATCTCAGCGCTTGGAGAAATGATGCAGGAGGATGGGATGCTGGGAGTCTGAGGGAGGCCTGGATTGTACAGTGAGTTCACAGCCAGACTTGAATACATAACAAAACTATTTTAAAACAAGAAGAAAAACTTTAGTTCTCAGTTGTACTAGCTATATTTCCAGTGCTTACTACTACAGCTAATGACTACTGTATTGAACAGCACTGAGTATGTAATAGGTGGTCCATAAATGCTTACTGGTTGAATGGGTCACAGACTTTTCATCCCAGCACTCAGGAGGCAGAGGCAGGTGGATCTCTGTGAGTTCGAGGCCAGCCTAGTCTACAGAGCGAGTTCCAGGACTGCTCCATGGCTACTGAGAAACGCTGTCTTGAAAAACCAGAATGAGAGAGAGAGAGAGAGAGAGAGAGAGAGAGAGAGAGAGAGAGAGAGAGAGAGAGAGAGAGAGAGAGAGAGAGAGAGAGAAGAGAGAGAGAGAGAGTTCATAACTAATGAAGACAACAAGTGTATGTGGTCTCTGGTCTCTTTAGTCACAGGGCTTCCATCTAGCAGGTTGGAGCCTCCACAGAACGCCCTACTTGAGTCTGGGACCACAACAAACAACTTAGGACACTGAGAGACCAGCACATTAGCAAGGGGCCATTCAGACTAAAAATTTTAGGTTTCTCTCCAGGATGTGTCTTCAATCATAACTGGGGATGTGACCCTGTACCCAAAGTTCAGATGGACTGTTCCGTGACTGAGGCAGCATCAGGTCCCTGTGTCCTCTGAGGGAAGAGCCCGGGTTGTTAAAGGGGGCTACGGGGAGCAGAAGGCATCGAGTGTCTCATGCATTTTCCCTCACACCAGCTAGACTGGACCAAGATTAGTAGAACTCACTACTATCAGTGCAGTGACGTCCCTGTCACTGGATGTATGAACAGGGGCTGGACAAAAGAGGAGCAGA